CATCATTGAATTCTTCTTCAGAATCATGTGGAGCTGATGATGCAGAAGGAGGTTCAGAAGATCTAGAAATATGACCAGTAGCTGGTGATTTCTGATGTCCTGAACTAGGAGTTGTCCTTGCATCATCAGAGTTGGGAGGAGAAGGTGGAGAAAATGAAGAATGAGGATACTGGCCCCCATGAGCCTGGGGATCAGGAACAGGTGGAAAGTGGACAACTTGAACCTCAGGAAAAGAAAACTCATCTTCATCTGCAGACTTATCAACATGACCATGGAAGGGAAGAATGTCTTCATGAAAAGTAACATCTCGAGAAATGAAGACATCATGAGTATTCAAATCAAATAACTTAAATCCTTTGATTCCATGTGGATAGCCAAGGAAGATTGCCTGCCTGGCTCTACTTTGAAATTTTGTTCTCCCACTACTCAAAGTGGCAGCATATGCCAAACACCCAAAGAACTTCAGATGACCTAGGAAAGGTGGTGTTTGGTACAATATTTCATAGGGACTTCTGTTCTTCAATACTGCAGTAGGCAGTCTGTTTATTAAATGCACTGCATGCAACACACAGTCACTCCAAAATTCCAAAGGTATTCCAGATTGAAACCTGAGAGCCCTGGCAACATTTAATATATGTTGGTGTTTCCTTTCAACCCTACCATTCTGTTCTGGAGTAGCTACACATGACATCTCATGCTCAATCCCATGCTTAGCATAGAATTCATTCATATGGAACTCCCTGCCCTGATCACTTCTTACTACTTTAACAGATTTTGAAAACTGCTTCTCAACCATTAAACAGAAATTTTGCAAAAGTGATCTGGCCTCTGATTTGTGTTGCATGAGATAAATCCATACACCTCGTGAATGATCATCCACAACAGTTAGGAAATAGGAAAAACCATCATAAGATTCAACTGCCAAAGGCCCCCATATATCAACATGGATCAAAGCAAACACATCCTTAGCAATACTGTCACTTAAGGGAAAAGGTAATCTCTTGTGTTTAGAAAATTGACAAATCTCACAATGCTTAACTGTTTCACTCTTAACTAAGGGATTACAATGTTCTATCAACTGAACTTTTTGAGAACTTGGATGCCCTAAGCGCCAATGCCAAAGATTGATCTTCTGTGGTTCAAAATTGTAAACTGATGCAACTGATGGACTTGACAAACTCTCTGGATTGTGTACTAACTGGTAGAGTCCTCTACTTTGTCTTGCCAAGCCAATCATCTTGGAGGTTACTAGGTCCTGAATAAGGCAAGAATCAGATTGAAAGTTTAGTGAAATGGGAAGATCATGTGTCAACTTGCTAACTGACACAAGGTTAAAGGTGAAACTAGGTATCAAAAGGACATTGTGTAAGGGCATTCCTGTGGGCAACTTCACTAATCCTATGTGAGTGACCAGGACTTTGGTACTATTTGGTAGGAAAACATATACATCATGGACTGGTTGGCAGCTAGTGAAAAGATCAATAGAACACACTATATGATCAGACGCTCCAGTGTCTAAGATCCATGAATGAATAAGGGTGGCAGAATGGCAGTGAATATAAGATGATAGAATGAATTTACCAGCTGAGTTTGGAAATTGTGGTAACTGCTGTGAGGTTGAGAAGGCTGCATGTCGAATACTTGGTGAATGAGGAGGTGATGGTGATGGAGAAGGTGGACTTGGAACACCTTGAAGCAAAAATCTCAGTCTGTTCAACTCTTCACCAGTAAGCTGCATATTGTAGACATTTCCACTTGAAGACTGATTACTGCTTCCTGAGTTTGTATTTGATTGCAACTCTTGAGAAACATCATCTCCATCATTCACTGCTCCAGCAAAGCGAGCATTGTTTCCAGGTTGCCCCTGATTCTTCCTTTTCAGCCTCCAGCAATCACTTATATTGTGATTTGTCATCTTACAGTATCTGCAGAACAAGCCAGTTTCTCCAGATTCTCCATTGTTAGGCCTTTGAACTTGTCTGTTATGTGGTGCTTGATTCTGATTCTGATTCATTCCTTGTGAGTTAGGCCTCTGATTGGACTGGTTTCCATAAGCAGCCAGAGCAACAGATTGAGATGCTCCTCCTCCTTTTCCTTTATCAGCTTTAAGCTTTTGCTCATGCTGCAACAAATCTCCATAGGCAGCCACAACTGTAGGCAGTGGCTTCATCATGAGCAAGTGAGTCTTAACAACATCGAATGCTGGTGCAACTCCCCTGAGAAACCTCACAAGGTAATCAGTCTCCTGTTTTGCTTTAAAGGCTTCAACAGCTGGACAAAGCAAACCTTGCCCAGGAGCACAATTGCAAGGAACAATTGGATTAAACTTTGTATACTCTTCCCAGTATCCTTTCATTGTTGTATAATACTGAGTAATAGTCATACTTCCTTGTTTACAAGCATGAATATCGTCCTCCAAATTAGTCAATTTAATAGCATTAGCTTGTCCAAAACGATCTCTTAACTCTTCCCACAAAAACTTAGCAATCTCATGACTCTGCACACTCCTCTTGATATCCTTGTGCAAAGAATTCATAATCCAACAAAGCACAACAGTATTACATGCATCCCAAGCCCTGTATCCATTAGGATCAGTTGCCATGTCTGGTATTGGTACTGACCCATCAATAAACCCAAGTTTATACTTGGTTTTGAGTGCTATTCTGATAGATCTAGACCACATCTGATAATTGCTTCCATCCAACACTTCTGAAACAATCGACTGAGAAAGATTCTCATTAGGGTTTTGATAGAAAGGGTTACCGAAGATGAACTCTGGTGAGGCATTTGTTGTTCCTCCACCAGAGGATGAGCTATTTGAGTTAGCTCCTGATTGTGGTGACGTTTCCTGGTTCTGCGACATGATTCTCTTCTGCTGCTACTCAGAATGCGGAAGAAGCTGCCGGAATGGCAGTGTACAGCTCTGATACCATATGAAAAAGATAGAGAGTCTGGATTTGGGTGGATGAGAGCAGCAGAAAAGCTACCTCATCTCTTTAGGGATTTTCATTTATATAGCAGAACCAAACGGCTAATCAACAGTGATTAACCAGAATTTGAATCCCATTAACCCGCAAAGGACACGTGGCTTCATGGGATTCGTTATTACATAACGAATCTGTGTAAAACAGATTAAAGAATAAAATGGTAAAACGACGCCGCATGACAAAGTGCTGGCCTAGTTCCAAATTTGTATTCTCTTCCACTTCAGTCCATCGTCCTTGTGTTGTTGACTCCAGTCAATCCTGGTTGAGCTCGGATTGCTGTGAAGAACAGCTACTGCTGCTGAACTGACCTGCTTCTTCTCTTCCAACAACCATTACCCACCGCAACCGGACCATAAATCGCTAGCAACAAATTTGTCATCGGCGTCGCATAGAGAAGGTGACAAACTCAGTTTTGGCTTCTTTGTTCAGCCAAGGTGGAGTAGAGAAGGTGATTATGTAGATTCCGAATTTGGTGGCTCGTCGGAAGGCAAGTTGAAGGGACGAGTTTCAGTCACCAACCGCCTAGACGGAATGACGGCGACCCAAAACAACCGCTGGCCGATGCCAGTTGCTCGGCAGTTCAAGAAAGGGAGAAGGTCCAGGACGAAGTTTGAGATTTTCGTTTGACCGGGTTGCAAGGAGAGATAAAGGGACACTTAACATATTTTTTTCTCCAATTTTAGTCAAAATACGAAAATTAGGATTCTGTGAAAATTTTGATTATTTTAAGTGAAGTTTATGCTGACTGGACGATTAGACGGTGGATTGACTGTTAGTCAACGGTTTTGACCGTCTAAACAAACGGTCCACTTTGAGTTTGGCCAATTTAATAAAATTGATGCATAGTTGAGGGCGCGATGTTATAGATCGAAAAAATTAGTCAAGATGTTTAATATGTGTAAAATTGGGGCCAGACAAAAATATTAACCCTAGATTTTTAGAAATTTTGAGATATTGAAAATATTAGAGGATATTAGGTTATTATGGTAGTTGTTAGGGAAAAAAAAGATTATAAAACCACGTAGAATTATGGTTTGGGATTAAGCAATAAACAATAGAATTATCAAATCTCCCAAACCACCGCCACAAGTCCACAATCCTCCATACTCGCCTAGCTCCCCTTTCTTTTCACCCAAACTCAACAGTCAACACCATCAATCACATAATCATCCCTTCATCGAGGCACTCATCATTCGCCTATGCATTTCAGCTTGCTAAATCAATGTGTAGACGTTATTTACACAAACGTCATTGTCTATGTTTGGCCCGGCTTTTAGAAGTATTTTTCGGCTTCAAAAGCTGAAGCAGGGCCAAATACCTCTAAAAGCTCGGCTTTTGAAAAGCCGAAAAACGCTTTTGTATAACATAAAAGCAGAAGCTCCGGTTTGGAGCTTCTGCAAAAAGCTGTTTTGAAAATACAAGATTATCCTTATCATATTTTAATTTTATTTCAGAAAATATAAATTTCCTTCATTTATATCATTCTAAAAATAAAATAAATTATAGAATTATATTATTTAATATAAAAGAAATCTAACAAGATCCATTTTGACTACTTTTGATTGTTTAAAATTTTTATTCATATTTTATCTTATAAGTCCTTTATAATCATTTTATACAACCGCTCATATTAAAAAACACTTCTAATAGTTTTATAGCCAAACACTGAACTATTTTTTTTTTGTTTGAAAAATATTTATCTAAAAGCTCCAGCCAGAAACGGTTTCTGCAAAAAGTATCGCAGGGCCAAACTAAACTATTGTGTTGATTCAATGGCTGAAAACACAACAGGGGCATACAGCAGTGCATACGCCCACACTTTTCAGCATTTTCTGCTTAGTTAGCAAATCCCATAATGACTAACATGCCACCACGTATAACCAAAAGTCATTCTCCTCCCCCGTTTAACGCTTGGCTGCTTCTTGAAGGTGTCCAAGAAAATACCAGATACCTATTAGAGGCTGCTGTTGGACGCCATAGAAGGGGAGAAGAGGTTGTTCATAAGAAGCGATCAGCTGGACGACGCTGGCTACAGTATGGTTAAATACATAGGAAGATAGAAGATTTCATTACAAAATTCTACACATTACAATGATAAAGAGATATGTATGATTAAAGCAGTCTGGACTCTGGAAGATGGCTTCTCACCCTGAAGAATATAACTATAACAACCCTCCCTACTGAAACTCATAAATCTCCTCATATTTACACCAACATCTTCATCATCCTCTGAATAGTTGAACCAAAATCACCGGGTCAATCAGTTGTCTGCAGGGTCTCTACAAACCTAGGTATGAGAAAATAGATGGGACCAGATCCACGACGGACCATGCAAGGCCTGCATACTGGAGGAATCTTATGCCAGTATCGACGTCAAAAGAATCCATTTGGTTAGAGAAAAAGAATAGTTTCTGGATGTACCCTACTGATGACTGCTGCTGCTTCATATTACCTTCTGATTTCTTCCCTGTTGCTGCATTCAGCACCGGGATGTAACCGGTTGATCTTATAGGGATCCCCAAGGTGTTTGAAACTAGTGGAAGAATCCACTTGGACAGGGCTTTGCTGCAGAACTTGACCAATAAAATTGTAGGTATTCCGACAGCAGCTCTTCCCAGGAAAGCAGGGACTGTGAGCTCTGCAGTGAATATCTTCGGGACACCTTCGTGGTGGAACTGCTGGTAGGTTTGCTGGATTCCAGCCACCTGGCAGACCATGTTGCAACTTTAGTTCACATCACCACGAGCAAATTTATACTTCTGATATATATCATTCTCAAGATTAGCTAGCTTGCAAACTGCAAATCAATAAGTAAAGATGGTATAATGCTTCCTTACAATTCCAAATGCGACACCATCAAAGGCTGTGTGGTATTCAAAGCTTGGCGTTGGGAACTCGGGAGTTGGATAAGCAAAAAGCAACAAGAAGCTCAAAGTCGCCCAAAATGTTGTAACTGAAATTTAAATAAATCTAGACGTTAAATGCCATCCTGCTTCTTTGCATGGAGTACAAATAAGTATACCATGCTACTGCTAAACGGGTAAAAATGAATCTCTGTCCCAAATAAACTGAACTTGAACTGTTGGATATTTAAACAATAAGTCAGCTCACCATTCTGTCCAGAGATTATGAAGCTGTCAATGTGGTCATGCACAGTCAGCCAAGAGGCAAGGATCATGAGACCAATAAGAAGACCACCGATGATATCAATCAAGCTGTGCATGCCAAGGTAAATCCTTCCTATCAAGCGATACCTCAGTTTTGGTCAGAAAAATGTACAGAGAAAAAGGAAGATAAGAAATCCAAGAACCTGAAGATGGATTATTTTAATTACCCCAACCAGTGAGGCAGACAAGCAAGCAAACGAAGGCAACTGCCGCAAAGGTCAATGACTGATCCTGAACTTGCATATAGGATAAAACATAGTGCAAAAGGTACCTGTACAGCCACAGTCGAACATATAGGAGTAAGTGCTACAAGAAACTGTTGTAGCATATCAAAGAAAAAAATGGGCTAGAGGAGAGTAGAATGTGCAGGTCCAACGTGAGATGAACAAGTCTTAACAATCACTGATCACACTTCTGATATTAACCAATTTCGCCAAACTGATTAATGCAATCCAGTTAGAGTGGCTAAGCGAAAATTCAACTTAAGCCACAAGTCCATGTCCTTGACCTTGAATGGAAGTTGTTCTCTAGTTTCATGCACACACCAAACGCTCAAATTTAAGCAAACAGCCAGCGGCTTTATGGAACACAGATGACCTATTCTTAGGTACACAAACATCCTCCTAAATTGCAAACCAAAAGAAGAAGATTGACAGCACAGCACCGCTGCAGCCAGAGAGAAATTCTACAAAGAAAGCTCATTCTGACATCAAACATGCTGTGTATTAAAGGAAGAAGCCGGCACCATGAGCATATCACGAAGAAAGAAGAATACCCAGAAAGGCAAACGGTGTTGAGAGTGTGGGAAGAAGGCAACCCATATTCCAAGGCATTGTCTTCCTCGTCCTTTGTGGCAGTGACTCTCCTGACTGGAGGGCTACTGGGTCTTGGAGCTGACACCACATCCTAAGGCACCAATAATGGAGTAAGGAACTTCATTAAAAAAAAAAAAAAACAACTCCCTGACGCAAAACCCATAAGATAAAATAGAAAGCAGCTTCATATCTGAGATACCCATTTCTGAACACAGAAGGACTACCTTAATACAGTTCCCTGAATAATCACAGAAAGCCATCAAAAGGGTCATCTGCCTAGCCAATTTGCCATGTCCACTCTACAACCAACCAAGTAACGCAGTCAGCACAACCTCTTAAGGCAGAGGAGCTGTAATCAAACACAAAATTCCGGCAACTGGCAAAAAGTTTCCGCAGCAAAACATGTAACGAGAAACAGAACGAAATCAAATCCTACCCAGAACAGGAAAGGAAGAAAGGCCGTGTAGAAGGGCACAGAGACGACACAAGACAAGCCGGAGAAGAGGGCATCCAAATATCTATTCTGGTGCTTCTGCAAATATAAGAAATATGACCCAAAAAAAAGCAAAATTTAACTTAGTCAACCGCAAGCAGGGGTTCATCATTTTTCTCCCTTGGGAAAAGTCGTCCAGAGCTTGAAAACCTGGATCCGGAGAACGGCAGGGGTGCCGGCGGCGACGTGGTGGGACGCCCATGGCTGCAGCAAAGATCGAATCTTTTGGGTGACATTGAAACACGAAGACACAGCAATCCACGACGCGATTCCACAGAGAGCCGACGCTTGCCACAATGCTATGCTCTCCATGAAAATCCCCCTCTTCGCTTCCTTGGGAAACAACGGCAATTTGGGGGGAATCTGAATTGGGGGACCGCCGACGATGAGAGACGAGGAGAAAGAGGCACTATTTATTTTTGTGAATATTGACTAATCCAGCTCCAATTCTTCAAATTATGCCGTTTTGGAGAGCTTGGCTTCTTTTAATACTTTTATATTTTTTTCTTGTTGAATTCGGGTTTTTGTGCTGGTTTCGTTTGCCTTGCCTTTTCCAGAGGCGGCAGCCACCAGGCTTCCTATGGCAATGGGCTGGCAGGGACAAAAGTGGCGCCATCAGCCGGCGCCCGTAACTGGGAACATCCACGTTAATACCCAAGTTAACAAAGTATTTACAAAGATGGCACAATCGTGTGTAGGGATGGCAACAAAACTCGAATTCAAGGGTACCCATCCGATCTAATTCGGTCAACGCGGGTAAAATCCGTGTTGACGGGTTTTGGGCCGGATTTGGATTTAAACTCGTTTACTATTTACCGGGTTGGGTTGGGTTGGGTTTGGGTTTAGGTAAACCCGGCCCATGGGTACCCGCCCACACTCATATAATTAATTTTCTCGGTATATTTAATATATCAAACAACTAATCTTATTTATGTTTGTGGAGACATGTCTAATTTTTTCTTTCTAGTTATGTAGAATGAAGTTGATGTTATTGAGTGGAGAGTGAAAAACTTAATTGAAAGGAAGAAGTTTTCAATTAATCATGTTATTTATGGATAATTTGTGATCTGCTTCAATTTTCTTGAGTTTTCTATATTGGTGTTGAACAATTTGTATAGTTAATTTGTGATTTGCTTGAATTTTCTAGAATTGAGAGATTGATATTTGACTTTAATTTTGATAGGAATTTGTTATTGTTAATTTTTTACGACAAAAACCCGTGGGTACCCATGAACCCGCGCATACCCAGCAGGTTGGGTTGGGTTTGAGTTTTTTAAACCCATTGAGTTTTACCCCGAGTTTTTTCACGGATAAACCCATGAGTTTGAGTTTGGCAAAACCCGACTCATTACCATCCCTATTCCCTAATCGTGTGAGATCAATTATGTAATTCACCCAACAAAATACCGAGGATTAAAATACGTCTCGATACCAAATTCTCTCGTATCGATCGAACAAATTATAGAACAGAAACAGTAAACACGCTATCCTCCGGCTCTTAATGAATGGAGTTCCTATTCGTTTGGTTTTGTTTTGGTCTTATTAATTTCCATTTTATATATGGATCGGCACAAAATTGATCCACTGAGAAGAGTTTAGGAAGCAAACAAATGGCATGATCTGGTATAAGAATTTTTTATTTTAGAAAATACATATGCATAAGTCTAAGTCTTAGATCCATAGAGTGAAATTTTTGAAATCCATCAAAACCTTACGCGATAAGAATTCGAATTCTTATTCTATATAAAGACTTCTATACATTTCGAACCTAACTCAATTTGGTCAATCTCGCTGCCTTATATTTTTGTTTTACATCTATTGTCTATAAGTTTTACTTGCATCGGTTTATGATGTCGTGCTTGGGACCCGATCCCCAACCCACATTACTTTTAGTTTTGTATTTATTTGATTTTGAAGAATAAATTACTATTCATGAAATAACAAAATTCTATATCTATGAATTCTCAACTCAATATTCATCTCACTCTTCCCCAAATTCGCATAATTATCTTCCTCGTCTCTCAAGTATGTACCATAAGCTAACCTAAATATCCAAATATAGATCAGAGACCACACTCGGTTCGTTGTAATTTCCAAGCATCCGATATTCTCAAAGTAGACATTTTATACTACCTGAAAACGACACAGGTCACTCCTATTAGTGATTAAAGTATAAAAATGGTGCTTATTATTTTATTTTTCTTTTATAGAAAACGAGTAAACTCAATCTAAGGGGTGGTGGTGTAACATTTTATCTCTTCTTTTTCTTTTTGAAAGTTCCTCGTCGGGAAAACTCGATGGCTGTCGTCACCTAGGGGTGTGTGATAACGATGTAATTGCATGATTTTATACCCCTATTTCTTATCCATTTGCGGAGCATGGTTGTGTGTTTTGGCCTATTTTACGCCGGGTTGTGCTACTTTGTCCTATTTCAGGTCCCAGGCGTCAAAAGGAAGGCCAAGCGCGAGTTTCGGATCGTTTGGAAGTCGTTTGGTCGAGCCAGGGCCAAAACACGGGCAGGAGGCCCTCAGAACACGACCGTGTTCCTGGCCGTGTTTTTACCGCCGAGACTCCCCATGTGTGGCTTGAACCAGCTAAAAAACACGGGCAGGCCTGAGACAGAACACGGTCGTGTTTTGCCCAGAACACGCCCGTGTTTTCCCAAGGCACGTGGCCGTGTTTTTATGCCAAATCCAAAACACGGGCGGGCTGGACCAGAACACGGCCGTGCCCTCGACCGTGTTCTGGCCAGTGATGCCCTTTTAGGCAGATTTCAGCCAAATTGAGGGGGGATTCGAGTTTTAGAGAGACAGAGCGATTCCTAGAGAGAGAAAGCGACGAACAAGAGTCTCCAAGTGCCCTAGCTTGATCTTCATCACCATTGGAGCTTGGCTTGAGCTTGGTAGAGTGCCGATCAACGTCCAGGAGCTGAAATCCATCCTTCACAGTATGGTTTCCGCATCTGATTCTGCTTTTGCTTCTTTCTCCATGGAGTAGTTCTCCCATTCATCTGGGTGTGGGAAACCCTAGATCTGTATGTTAGGATTGATTGTATGAACCCAAGTACTGTTTCTATGATTTGATTATATTCGATTGAGGTTTGAATGATTGAATGGCATGAATCCTGATCAAATTCCTGTTGTTTCTGCTTTAACCTAGAATGAGAATATCTTCCTAGGTTGATAGAGCATCCTTAATTGAAGGTGGGGAATTGGTGACTTTAGTCGAGGAGCCAATTCGCTATTCTGTACCGAATTCAATTCGGTAGTGGAGGTTTGGTTCGTTAGGGCCTCAATCTGTTTACTCCGGTGGAGGTTAGTCGCCCGCTAGAGACTCAGATTGAGAGGGTCTGAAGACCTTTAGTCGAGACTTCAGACTGTTTGAGAACCTTCCGCAGTATAACTATCATAGAAATTGAACTTGGTAATTACAATCTGGCTTAACTGCAGTCTAGGGGGAACCATATCCGGGTGACCTCTCTTAACCTGAAAACAACCGTTTAGTTGCTTTGCTTGCTTGTTAGTTTAGATCTTCACTAAAGTTTCATTGCTAGATAATACGAATTCACTGAGTAGTCATCACATCTAGGACCCGGGTTGACATTAAAACCCAAACCCGCTATACTACGCTTTAGGAAGTGGTTACACTTGGCCATTTTCTAGAGTGACAGTAGGAGTGAGTCAGTGTGCAACGGTCTGGTCTGGTCCGAACCGAACCAAACTAAGGAGAACCGTGGTCCAATAGTAAGAGACTTCTATGGACCAAGAATCGAAACAACAATGCATTATGTCTGCTTTGGTCTGGTTCAAATGTCACTTCGGTCCATTTTTCTTCAAACATTTATAAAATTCGTGGGACCAAGGACCAGACCATATTATACTTGGTTCGGTGCGGTGCGGTCCAGTCCAAGTGTAGAACATCCCCTACCATTACTAATGTGAATGCTTCATCACGGATTCCACGGGAGGTAATTGAAGAAGGTGCTAAACGTTGAGAGCATAGTTGGTAGGTCAATTCATTGACCATCTCATCATTCAGGTATTGGGCTGACTGGATTTGGGGAAAGGCTGGAGAAGTTCGAGTTTCTTGGATGGGTAGGAAGCTTGTTCTCTTTCAATTTTCTTATGTTGATATTTGTCAGTGAGTTTTCAAGAACCGACCATGACACCACTGTGAGAATCTTATTTTTCTTCATAAATGGGAGCAGGAATCAGCCGATAACTATTGATGATACTGCTCTCCCTCTTTGTATTAGGCTATCCAATTTATTGACAGAGCTCACAACTGCTAGTCCCTTAGGGCGAACACTGTGTATGGATAAATCTACCAGGAATGGAAGGAAAGTAGATTTTGTGCAATATGTGTGGAAGTTAATGCAACTGCAAAGTGGGTAACAAACTTGAGTATTACACAAGATGGTTTGCTTGAGTTATTTGTGCATGTGGAATACTAGTCATATGTCAAGGGTGTGTGGGAAGTGTAAGTTTGTTGGACATGATTATGCGTTACCTACAGGGCCTAGTAAGAGGATTTGGACTGTCAAGACACCGGTTATAAGGGAAGTTGTTGAGCCTGAGAATGAGATCGATGACTCAGTTAATGGGGAAGCTCAGGAAAAGGGTGAATCAGTTTAAGAAGACACTGTTCTAGAGGAGGTAGTATGGACTATAAGCAAGTAAATGTAGCTACTACAACTCCACCTCCAGGGACAGGGCTAATTGATAATGAGGGCTTTACTTTGATGGTAAATCAAAGGCAGAGGGATAAGATTGGATCACCATGGAGTAGTAGTGATCATCAGGGAACCCATCATGCTGGTCTGCATGCACTCCCGTTGAGTAGGTAGGCACTACTTAATGATAGATCTTTTCCTAGCTTAATTAGAAAATTGTGATGAGAGCAAAGCTGTGGCTCCTCCTCATTCTCCTCCTAAAGGGAGAGGGAGAGGAGAAAGAGAGGTAAATGAAGCTGCTCAGTTGGAATATCAGGGTTTCAATGCACCTGATAAATACTTAGGGGTTGTTTGGATGTGGAAATTTGAAAACGTTGGAATTTGTCTGAATTTCTATGTTTTACAAAACCAAGGAATTGACTTGTGGAAATTGAAAAAAATTCACGTTTGGATAGGGTTTAGTTTTGTGGGAATTGATGGTGTGGAATTTGGAAAAAGAAGTGAGAAAACGTGGTAATGTCAAATTACTAGGGGGAGGTGTAGTATTCTCAATTACCATGAATGTGGTAATTGAAGCCAATTTCCATGGTCCAATTCCCATACCCTTTTTGCTCTCCCAAACGTGGATTTTTAACCCAATTACTGCATTATGTGGTAATTGGGTCCAATTACTGCATTACATTTCCACATCCAAACGACCCCTTAGTTGCTTTAGCACAGTTGAGGAAGCTAAAAATTCTATCTATTGATAGGAGATCTTCGTCAAATACACGACTTTGCCTTTTTTAGGAATTCCTCAGAAGGCTCTTAATACTCTTTATGT